ACTGTTTTAAATAATTTCAAATAGATTATCTTCTTCTTTTATATATATAAAAATAAGTCGGGTTTTCCTTCCTGACAAAATAACTTCAGAACGCACAAACCGATTTCGACAATTTTGCATTCGTTGGAAAGGTCTCGGGCTACACAAGGTTTATAGCTAAGAAAATTAGTGGTGCATGGCATCATGCCCTGATGCAAATTGCTGGAACTTCATGCACCGTAATTAAAAATTCGAGTAATGACATTAGTGAGAATTATCAGAATTATGCTGTCAACGAGCAATTCTTGCCGCAAAAAATAATGATGTACCCGCACTGAATTTCACCATTCAATCAAAAATTGCTGGCGATTTGGTGACATACCAATGATTCCGGTCTTCCGTTCGACTTTAAACGATTGCTATTTCCAGTTCGCCTTGCGTTCGCAATGACAATTAACAAGTCGCAAGGCCAATCGCTTAGTGTTTGCGAGATAAATTTCAAATAGATTATTTAGAAACTCATTGTTTTTCACATGGGCAGTTATACGTTGCCTGTTCACGAGTTGGAAAACCATCCGCTTTGTTTGTGTTAACGTCAGACCAAAAAACAAAAATGTGGTTTACCAAAGAGCACTTCAATGAAACGGATAATTTGCGGATTCACTTTTATTTACTTAGAGAAGTTCAACTAAAAAACACTTCATTTATGTAATCGAAATAAATTTATTACTGTTGTGCAATAAAATCAAATTTTTCCTTTTCAAATATAAAACAAACAAAAAATTTCTTCATCTTTTTCACGAAACCATCTGATGGCGAAACGGAGTTCGTCGGGTTTGCTAGTATATATATATATATATATATATATATATCTATATATTATGCGTACTTTTAATATCCATTACATTACAAATCTAATTTACTGCTTTAATCAACAAGTAAACCATAAATAGACAAATAGCCAACACAAATAAATAAGACTGCCTATTCCTCCTGCCGGCATTAAAACAAAAGTTAAAAACAAATCCAGCACTTATATAAATCGACATTCTGAAGACGTATTAATATGTAAATCCTAATATAATTCTAAGCGATCATCTTATGTCAGGTGCTTCGTATTAATAAATGCACCTAGGTAATATATTCAAGTCCTGCTGGATTAGAGACATTGAAACTTGTAGGTTCAACACGACTAAGTATAAGTACATGTAAGCAAAATAAGATGGAAAAAACTACAACGACATACTTGTAATATAAAAACATCTATAATTTATATTACGGTTATGGGAATTCTTGGGAAATGTTATGTGGATCTAATCATTCTGGTAATATGCACTGTAAGGTATCAGATAACGTTTGGTAATAGTTAAGTGCTATTGAATTGTGCAAAAAAATAAAATAAATTTGTAAGTAGATCGTCTAGAAATATAATAAATATTATATTGTATGATTATTATTACCAAAATATAATATGCACAAAACTGGTGCACTTAAAAAACGGATGCGATCGATATGACCACATCGGGATCATGAGAAGGAAATGATTGCAAACCAGTTTTCAATTTCTGATCTTCAGATATCGTACGGGCCAGTTTCGAAATCTCGAAATAATATCAATTCAGATTATTTGCAAAGCGCACACATGACAGCACACAAAAAATGATCCTCGTGCACGAAGTAATGAAGTTGTTAAAAATAAGCTACGATGGGATAAATTTCAAAACCAGAAGAAAGATGGAACCAAAAATCACTAATTTAACTGATACTCCTGAGACGGTTCATTAATATAATTAGTCTATTTATTCGATTTTTATTGTATCGAGTTGCTAAAAATCAAATGAGAGAATAACTTCATACACGTATGTATCAAAAGCCAGAAAAATATTACCAAAAATCACTAAGTCACTAAATTTACTGTTATTTCTAAGACAGTTTACAAATATCAAATACCACTCTGGAAATATTAACCCGTTGGAAATAAATCATTATACTTTCATTGTATATTTCAAGGTTGATGCACGTTATTATTATAGAATAAGGCTGTTTACTTTTTATAATATATATATAATAGAAAAATGTATGTGTGTTCCCACAGTTTAGTTGTCAATGCTTTATATTCTACAATAATAAGAGAGCAGATCGGCATATTTCACTTTTTTAAATTTATTATATGATAAAAATATGAAATTGTATGATTAAGAAGTAATTTAAATAAATCTTTACTTCTATGTATAAATCAGCAAGTTTTTTTAAAAGATAATTTCAAAGATCGGCTAAAAATTATTTTTACTAAACAATGTGATTTATAGTAGAAAGATGAAAATATAGGGTTGTATATAATACAAATTAGGTATTATAAAAAAAGAACCGAACGAAGAGCAATATTAGGGGTAGATAACCCTTACCACTTAAGGTATGAAAAACAGAAGTAAGCCCATTCTCGGCCCATAACATTAAAAAAAATGTATCAAACCGTTTGTAAGCTAAGAAACAAAAAAATACTGAAATTACATTCTGACGATTTGATATCAAGAAAAATTTACGTAAATAGATAAAGCAGTAAGATTTTCTAAACGTGCATCAGATTATTCTAATGTTTTTGAAAATGACTTTTCACAAAAATCTAGTTATGATCGCAAAAATCAAGTAACAAAAAATAACACGTATTATCATGACTGTAAAATCCATTCTTTCAGTACAAAATATTTTAAAACAATTTCTTCAAAGAATTATAATTTATCACAGACTTACAAGAAAATTTAGACAGCAAAGATAACAAGTATCTGTAAAATTGTTATAAAGTCAGACATTTATTCAAAAAAATTAGAAATTCAAACATATGTATTAAAAAATAGATTTTACGTAAATAAAAAAAACTGAACATAAATGTGAATAAACGAATTTTGCTTATATGACTATCACTTACCCTTTCCTGTTGCTCAGGTGAAAACTCCTTATCATATACACATTTTAACACACTTTACACATTTTAAAAACACCATACCGTCTCCTGAAAAAATAGAAAATTTTATTCTTAAAATGTTGGAACAACAAGTAATATATATAATATAATATGTATTTCTTTATAATTCTGCTTCTATGGGTCATTTCAAGAAACTTTGTCCAAGGCATCAACAGTTTGAAGCAGTCTTTTCTGAAATTATTGAGAATGAACCCATAGAAGCAGAATGAAATCTTAAAATCATATAATAATATTCCATTGCTCATTAGGTTTCTACAAAAAATTATTAAATATTTCCCTTTTCCCCAAGCTCTCGTTTTACTAAAATTCTTTCGTTCGCATTATTTATAGAAATAGCACCTGTTGCATCTCTACAATTCATTCATAAAAGGAATTTGTGATAAAGCTGCTCTCACACTAGAAATCAACGTTTTCCCGATTATAAATCTACATTCGTCTATCAACACGGCGGTAAAATAGTGACAAGGTTAATGGACATATCTGCACAAATAACAGTAATGTCGAAGAACAAATCTAATAATAATAATAATTGTGGATTTGACAACTTTACGCTGTCAATCATTGTTATTTATAGTACACAAACCGTTGTTTACTAAAATGAAATATTATCGAAGTACAAGTCGAAACTTTACCAGGGCTTGATTTCCAAATGCCAATTTTCCCTTTGTTTAAACATCACTCAAATTATTCACATTACTCATATTTTTATTCAACCTACATTATTATTACACATACGTATATGTTTAATAATACTATATTAATATAAGAGTAATAATGTTGTCGTGCTCATCATAAGAACAAAAAAGTATCTATAATCTTAATTGAACAAGTCAAGAGACTTATTGCAGTCGTTAATATCCTTCAGTTTTATCAATAATCTAATAATTATTAGTGTCAAATGCCTAATGAATTTTATTACAATATGCAAGTGGTATTACCTAGTGGTTACAGAAGTCAATAATTCCATTGAGAATGTCAGTCTGTCAAGGTTGTATAGTTCTTTATTAAGCTGAACAATCAATCATAACACCGGACAGATTTGATTGTGAATCATTCGAACGAATTTGCTTTCACCATTGATGATTATCAATATCAATATCAATATTACGGAATGGCTATTGTACAATAGTTAAGTTATTGATATAGGTTAGTTTGGTCGATTTGTTTTGTAATTGCAAGTCTGGTAATGGTAATAAATTATGTGGATTAAATTATATGAATCCTATGGGAAAAGATCAACTTTGAAGATTTTGATTAGGTTTGGGGCTTTTGCGCGAATTCGTGGTAACAGTTATGGAATCTTCAGTTATGTGCCCTGTGTATTATATTTAATTTAATGTTTATAATTACTTAGTATCTTATGTCACTGAAAATCAGTTGTTATGGAACTAGATACATTTTCTAAATATGTCGATTATCACTTGGTATTTGATATTGTGGTAATAGCGTTTGGTAAAAAATCTTCTATCGTTTAGGTTTTCCTCCCCTGTCCGCTACAGGGCCGATCTGAGAAGTAAGAGTTATTGCGCCGTGCTCTACATAATCGATCGGTAATTAAAGTCGATCGGGCCATGGTAATCAGAAGAGCGGGTCGTTATTAAGGACATATCATTGTATTCATTCCTTGTCCCCTAAGGTATCGATATAGGCACATTGATTAATGTTCTTATGTGCGAGCGAGTGCTTTGTTTATGTTACCAATAATCGGCCAACTTATTCTTTTTTCGACATTGGCATACATTATTGCCCCTCAACAGCCCCGGGGACAGTAGAGCGCCGAATTTATTTCCTTGTTACGATTTCGTTCGCGCATCGAGATCATTAGCTCGGGCGTTATTCCCGAGATAAATTTCATTATTATAATAACTGAATCAATACTAATATTCATAATAAATTATAGTCATTACTATTATTGAACCACATCTAGAACGTTTAATGAATTCCAAGGATTCGCTATTAATATAGCATTGTAGTAAGAAATTGCACATGTGTGTATCCTTTAAAAATAAGATATAATTATATTTTTCTTTTATTACAGTTAATGTCGTAGAAGCTCTACAAGAATTTTGGCAAATGAAATTAGCCCGTGGTGCAGATTTGCGAAACGGAGCCCTTGTCATCTACGAATCCGTACCTTCAACAAGTCAACCCTACGTGTGCTACGTAACGCTACCTGGAGGTTCCTGTTTTGGTAGTTTTCAGGTAAGGAAAAATTTATCCAAATAATTGATAATGGAACAAATTATAATTTTCATCGCGTCTATTGGACATAAAGAAAATATATTAGTTATTTTGGCAAGTATTTGGTAGTACTCAAACGTTTAAATCGAATGCTTGTCCAGTAATTGAACGTCTGGGTATGATGATATAAAAATAAGAAATTGACTGCAAATAAATTTACAGTGTTATTCCATAATATATTGTACCCAATTTAATCGTATTTTATAAAAATATATGACGTATTCTCATTTTAAATGGCTCAATAAAATGAAAACAAGTATCACATAAATAAATAAGATCATACCAATTAATTCATATACTTTATTATTATATTATTTTATTCAAACATTTTATTCAAACGTTTTTAACGGGCAACAAGTTTCCTTTCCAAGCCTATTTAAGTTATTAATTTATCTATCTTCTTTCTAGAATTGTCCGACAAAGGCAGAAGCGCGTAGAAGTTCAGCAAAAATCGCCCTAATGAATTCAGTATTTAATGAGCATCCGAGTAGGAGAATCAGCGACGATGTTATCGAAAAAGCTGTGATGGAAGCCAGAGCCAGTTTCAAAGGAGCAAATAATTCAGGATCTGATGACAGTCCTGGGACGGGAATCGGAGCTTTTCGATTTATGCTCGAAGCAAATAAAGGTAAGGATAAAAAATACGATATGTTTTTCGACCTAGTAAAGATTATTATTTGATTTTTATTTTCCTTTCCCAGGTCGTACGATGCTAGAGTTCCAGGAATTGATGACTGTGTTTCAGTTACTACATTGGAATGGTAGCCTGAAAGCGATGAGAGAGCGACAGTGCAGCCGGCAAGAAGTGGTCGCCCATTACTCGCAACGGGCTCTGGACGACGACATGAGGACGCAGATGGCCCTGGACTGGATTGCGCGAGAGCACGAGAACGCGGGCGCTCTAAGCCGGGAACTTGCGGTCGCCGAGAGGGAACTGGAAACTGCCCGACTCGCCGGCAGGGAATTGCGTTTCCCGAAGGAGAAAAAGGATATACTCATGCTGGCCCATACACAACTCAATGGCTCTGGCAGTTGAGCTGATCGTGGTGAATTCGATATTTTGCCAAAACCTAAGTCGATATTTTAAGAGTAAAAGACACAGTTTTGATCGAGTTTGTGATTACAGGACAGGAACAGACTATTACAGTTGTAGTCCATGATGTGCAAAGTGTTGAGAGTGAATAATATATGGTGCCTTTGAATAATATATAATTTTGTACAATACGTCTGGTTTACACAATTTCAGTACATTATTATTTCAGATATCGCTTACATGCAATGATATAAAAGTTTCTTCTATAAATCCACGATTTGATTTCGATCATCACTCAGAATAAACAATTTAATTTTCTAAATGATTATTCAGCTATGATACTAACAGAAGTTATAATATTTGAGTGGCGCTTGTATTGTAGTTTTACATATGTTATGTGATGTTAAAAAGAATGTTTATGACTTAATAATACTTTACTTTTAAAATATAAAACAAATTATTATTATTGAAATGGAAATAATATATTGAAAACTAATCTGATAACTATAAAACTGATCTTGCATTATTTATAATTATAATTTTATTAATCTCAAAGCAAATCATAAAAAATATATGATTATATAATTACACTTAATCTAGAATATTTGTAATTCGTTTAAATGAAAAGATGAATAAGTTTTAATTATTATTAGTATGCTTGATGCGGCAGTTGTTTAAAGATATTGTGTACTTCCACGTATGAATTATTGAATTGTATTGCGTTCTCACCGCAAAATATCTGTATTTTACCCGTTATAAAAAGATTTATATTCTATAATATTTTATATTATCAGAATCCACAGCATCGATGCCGATTCCTGATAATAATGATAGTATTTATATATTAAAGCGATATAAGATAATGTGATCCTTCGAGTATATATTGTGTGTACAACATTGTAGTAATGTAGAATTATTCTATATGTGAAAGCAAAGTTTATATGTTTAAAATATTTATGTGTAACAGATCTGTAAATAAAACGCTTTAACTATAACTTAGACTCTTCATTCATATTCGACAACATCAATAAAACTAATATGAAATAATCGACTTAATAAGAACAAACATTTTGGCTATTTAGGTAAAATTTTCATTTGCTGCTTTTCGAATGTAAAGTTTTTCAGAAACTATCAACAAAAAAAAATTAAACAGTTTTAGGCACATATACATTTTACAATTTTGGTCTTAAACGGTTCAGAACGTGTTGAAACTTAGAGAAGAAATAAAATTAGCAAATCGGAATAATTCTTCTTCGGAAAGTTAATAAATAGATAAAATAACACTGATGGAACTTTAAGTATAAATGTAGAAGACTTCGACAGTTGAGTAGATATATCCAAAATAAGCAAAACAAGAAACAAAAATTGTAAACAAAAAACAACACTGAAATGAGGTCACGTCAAAAGTTATGAACCAAGAGGTTTGAAAAAAACACCAATAAAAATATTAACATTTTAGATTATTTGAATTAATATGAAATTCTGCATTATCAAAAACATGGGCTTTTCTGCGACTTCCAACCACAAATATTAGATTCGATACCTGCCTTAGACAAAAGTGATGCCAAGCAGTAGGGTTTTTTTGGAAATAAGGAAATAAACTGTTCCTAAATGACAAAAGCTCTTCCCTGGCATTACTGCGACATCAATAAAATCATCATTAGTATTACAAAAATTGCAATATTAAATTCATCAACAATATAAAAGCGCACCGTTGTGTTACCTTCTAAAAAGCTATATTATTAGGAAGTTATCACAACCAGCCTATAGGAGTTGTAAGATCAGATTGCTGTTAACAATAATAATATAATCAACTACATGATTATTGAAAATCGAATTCGAAGACAACATGCACCTAATTTTTTGGTCCGATGACATTTTCGGCGTTAAGAGTTAAGCGCTCTCTTTGCTTAACATTCGCGCACTTATCGAACGACTATCTCTCCTGCGAGCTCTCCTTTTTGGTCTTTACTTGTCTTTTTTCTTGATTTGATTTTTTTCGGTGGTGAGAACCGCACACACGGGTCGCTGACCCATCCCATATCGAAATAAATAAAAATATGCTTTTATGTGCTCATTACGAAATATAATTAGAAAAATTGGTTTAAAAATAAGTACGAGGAGGCATTCTTTATATTTCAATTACTTCCACGTTTTTCTCTTAAAAACTGTTTTTGAGTAGTATTATAATACTATAGTAATGAATCAGTATCAAATTGAATGTTGTTTCCAGACCATTACGCTTTCCGTGTATAATGTCCTTTATTATATTGTGTATTTCGAGGAATAATGTTTCTAATTGCACTGCCATATACAAAATGACTGCGAGTGCAGTGCATCTCAACGAAATTCTTTGAAAACATAGCATTTTCACGAAGACGGACGTCTGTTGAATCACTGATGAACTTCGGGGGGTCAGCAATGTTCGCGCGGTGCTTATGATTCGTTAACGCCGCAGAAAAAAAAATGAAGAAAAACATAACGTATAAACCGCGATATGTTGAATTCTCAAAAAACAATATATGGTTATATATATATATATAT